GGATGAATGATCTGTCTGATGATTTTTTGAATTCTATTGGCTAGGATTTTGTTGAGAATTTTAGCATCAATGTTCATCAGAGAAATAGGTCTGTAGTTTTCCTTCTCTGATGGTTCTCTGTCCGGTTTTGGGATTAAGGTGATGTTGGCTTCATAGAATGAGTTTGGGAGGGTTGCTTCCTCCTCTATTGTTTTGAAGAGCTTGTAGAGGATTGGGGTTAGTTCTGTTCGGAATGTTTTGTAGAATTCTGTAGTGAAGCCGTCTGGGCCTGGGCTTTTTTTCGTTGGGAGATCCTTGATGACTGTTTCAATCTCTACCTCGGTTATGGGTTTATTTAATTCTGCAGTTGCCTCCGGACTGAGTTTTGGTAAGTGGTGGGAGTCCAAGAACTTTTCTATTTCTTGGTGGTCCTCAAATTTGTGGGAGTACAGTTCTTTGTAGTAATTTCTAATTATTTTCTTAATGATTGCAGTGTCTGTTGTTATGTTGCCTTTTTCATCTTTAATGCTATTAATTCTCACTTTCTCTTGTTTTTTTTTGGTCAATCGGGCCAGTGGAGTGTCTATTTTGTTTATTTTCTCAAAAAACCAACTTTTTGATTTGTTGATTTTATGTATAGTTTTTTTGATTTCTATTTGGTTTATCTCCTCCCTTGTTTTGATGATTTCTTGTTTCCTATTGTGCGTGGGACTCTTCTGCTGCTGTTTTTCCAGATCCTGGAGGTGTGAGGTTAGTTCCTGTATTTGGCGTCTTTCTTGGGCCTTGACATGCGCTCCGATTGCGATGAATCTACCTCGTAGCACTGCTTTGGCGGTGTCCCACAAGTTTTGGAATGTTGTATCAGAGTTTTCATTGGTTTCCATAAATTTTTTGATCTCATCTTTGATTTCTTCTCTGACCCAATGTTCGTTTAATAGCATATTGTTCAATTTCCAAGAGTGCGTATACTTCTTGGGGAGTTTTGAGTTGTTGATTTCCAGTTTCATCCCATGGTGGTCTGAGAGGGTACATGGTATGATACTAATGTTTTGGAAGTTGTTTAGATTCGCTTTATGTCCTATCATGTGGTCGATTCTGGAGAAGGTGCCATGCACCGCTGAGAAGAATGTATAGTCTGTGGCCTTAGGATAAAAAGTTCTATATATGTCTACTAAGTCCAGTTGTTCTATTGTTTGTGTGAGCTCTGTTGTTTCTTTGTTGAGTTTTTGTTTCGTAGACCGGTCCATTGTTGTTAGAGGTGTGTTGAGATCGCCTACAAGAATTGTGCGGGTGTCTATGTCTTCCCTTAAGTCTGTAAGTAATTGCTTTACGTAACTAGGTGCATTAAGATTCGGTGCATAAACATTAATGATGGTGATTGCTTCTTGATGGATCATTCCTTTCACCAGTATAAAATGGCCTTCCCTGTCTCTTTTGATGTTAGTTAGAATGAAATCTATCTCGTCTGAAATTAGGATAGCTACCCCAGCTTTTTTTTCTCGTCCATTAGCGTGAAATATCTTTTTCCATCCCTTCACTTTCAGTTTCTTTGCATCCTTTCTGGTTAGATGCGTTTCTTGTAGGCAACAGATGGTTGGGTCTTGTTTGATGATCCATTCTATTAATCTCTGTCTTTTGATTGGTGAATTTAGACCATTTGTGTTGAGAGTTAAAATTGAGAGGTTGCAATTTTGCCCTGCCATGTGTTTGTGTTGTGTATGTGTTGTTGCCTATGTAGTTGTCTTGTTTGTGCGGCCTTTAGTTTGGAGACCTTCTTATTTGCCAACTTTGTTTGTGATTTGCCTCCTTTTTGTCCGGGACTAGCGCATTTCTAAGGAGACTTTGCAGGGCTGGTTTTGTGTAGACATATTCTTCTAGTTTTTCTTTGCTATTGAAGTATCTGATTTCGTTCTCAAATACAAATGAGATCTTTGCTGGGTAGATTATTTTTGGTTGACAGTTGTTTTGTTTCAGGACTTGGAAGATCTTTGTCCATTCTCTCCTTGCTTGTAGGGTCTCTTCGGAGAAGTCAGCAGTAATTCTGATGGGTTTTCCCCTGTATGTGATCTTTTCTCTACTTCGTACTTGTCTCAGGATTCCTTCTTTGTCTTCATTGGAGTAGAACTTGAGCACCGTGTGTCTGGGTGAAGATCTCTTTGGATCATGTCTGTTGGGAGTTCTCTGTCCATCCTGTATGCGGGGTGGATTCGTGTTCCAAGTGTTTTGGAAGTTTTCCTGTATAATTTCATCAAGCACTGCTTGCATCCCAGATTCTCTTTCTACTCCCTCGGGGAGGCCGATGATCCGAATATTCAATTTTCTAAGGTAATCCTTCATCTCTTGCATCATTTTATTAGTTTTGCTGAGGTTTGTCTCTAGCTGTTTAATTCGCTGGGCACTTTCATTTTGTGTGTCTTCTGTTTCAGAGATCCTTTCCTCTGCCGCATTTATTCTGTTGATGAGGCTTTCAATTTTATTCTCTTGGGCATCCAGTTTGGTTTTGATTTGTTGTATTTCGGTGATTATGCGGTTCTGGTAGTCTTCCAGCTTTGTGTCCACGTCTCTGAGAAATTTTAGCATTATTTTCATCAATTCCTTTGCTGGTAACACGTCCATGTCTTCATCTCGCATCGCCGATATTGATAATGGCTTTTGGCCCATGTTTGGTGGGGTGCTGGCTCTTTCATCTGGAGCACAGCTCTTTCTAGTGGTTTTTCCCATTGCGTTGGTGTATTCTGGTAAGGCAAATGGACCCGTGTGTTGAGGGGCTGTCAGGTGCTTTCCTGTAGAGATTGGAGCCTGCAAGCGTGGTGTTGCCGGGCGTGGTAATTTTCAAGGCACCGTTGGTGCGTTCTCAGGGCCCGGGGCTGTAGAGCACCACCTTGGGGGCCCAGTGGATTCCAGGCACACTCTGGGCACCTCTTCTACAGGTGTGCCACCGCAGGGCGTGGAGGGATGGAGGCGCTCTCTGGGCGCGCCCCCTGCACGGGAATCCACAGGACGTAGAAGGTTTTATGTGCTTTCTCCCTGCGTTCTCCTTGTCAGGGACTGCAGGGTTTTTCAGAGCCCGCCTGGTGTGTCTCCCACACACAAGACTGTGGTTGAGGCACTTTCTGGGCGTGGCTCTTGTGCAGTGATTCCACCACTCGTGGTGTGTGTGTGGCTCCTCCTCACAGGACCGTAGAGGAGGTGTGACCCAGGCGCCCTGTTAAAATAACTTCTCAGCGGGATCGCACAGTGCCAGTGTGGCACAGGAGATTTCAGAGCTCTCCCGGTGTGTCGCCTACACTCAGGACTGCGGGGTGGGAGGCGAGGAATGGACAGTTCACACTATGGGAGTGGCATCTGCGTGTCAGGGACACACAGCGCTACACTTCCCAGTTCAGCACCCTCCTGACTCCTGCGCTACGGAGGCGGCTGCTGCAGGCGGGACCGCCTAGCCCAGCCCGGCGCGGCGCTCAGAGTCCTCCTGGTGCTGTCGCCCACCCACAGGGTTTCAGGGTGTCGGGGATTCCAGACTCCCACCAGCAGCCTCCGCGCGCTGAGATGCACTGGCCCACTTAGCGCAGGAAGATCTGAGGCGCTTTCCCGGGACCTTTTCAGCCACCAACACGCACCGCTGTTCCCAAGGCACAGACCTGACAGTTTCAGGTTGCGCCCCTTGTGTTCTCAGAGGCTGGAGCCTCAGCAGGGGGTGGGGAATGCGGAGGCTGCCACGTTAATCCCCAGCTCACCAAAGTCCGGCTGCTGCAGTCTGCTTCTGCTGTTGTTGAAGAATTCCGCCGGCGACGATCCCTCCGATTTCCCTGTCTCCAAGCTGGCCGCGTCTCCCGTCAGGCCGCTCTCAAAGGTGACTCAGCAGGTCTGGAGTGGGATGTCGGCTTCTCTACCTTTGCCCTGCTCCGTTCTCGTTGTTCTTCCGAGTTGTGTGGAACTTTTTGGCTCCACACTGTCCCAGGGAGTTTCACGGACCTCTCCCTACGGTTTCCTGCCGCTCCTCTTCGCTGCCTCTGCAGCACTCTAACCTTCTCTCACTGAACTCTCCCTCATAGCCTTTCTCCTACGTCGGCCATCTTCCCTTCCCATGTCAAATGATTCTTAACGACAATCCTAAAGCTTGTCTTCAAAGGCCTGGCTTTAATGTATAATGTCACTGAAGTCATTTGCATGGTCTGCAGCATTTGGGATTGGCATTTTTTTTCCCACAGAAATTGATGCACTAGGTGTCATGCTGCAGGCTGATAGGGAAACCAAACCATCGCATACAATATGGTTTCTATAGGAAAGTACATTTTCTGCTCTGAAACAACAGGTGCACAAACAAGACACAGGAAATACAGCCTCTTATAGATTAAGAGCTGCTTGCTTCTAAAGTAATTTCTCTGTATGCTAAATATTTTAAGAAATAAAGTTCATTTTTCATTGTTTTTGTTTTTGAAGAAGTCCCCGAAATGATTTGCCAGCTGTATAATGTGTAGCACAAACACAGTGCTACTCCGCTGATCAGGTGCTGTCCCTGGCTGCACCTGCGCTCTCTGACAGCCACACGCAGCAATCTGCAAAGTCTGAATACCAACTAACTGGATGCTGAGCAAGAGCAGGAGGCCTGGTGTAGATGATCAGGACTGCTAAGCTCCACCCCTTTTAGCCACAGTGGTCGTGACGTAGGAAGAGCTGGAACAGATCTCATCACGTCAAATATTCCCTTAGCTATTTGAATTTCATACAATAAGCGGCACCCTGAGCAGGAGTGCATAGTAAAAAATAGTTGACTGAAGTATTTCACCTACTTTTTTATGAGAAATTTATATAGTCAAAGTTTCTCTTAAAAGTGATTCAAATCTAAACCAATATATCTGATCCGGAGGAAAAATCATGTTAATGGAAGTAGCTTTAAGCTTCAACTTGCAAAACATTACAAGTTCAAGTTAGCACTGGATTCAAAGGCGCATAAGAAAAACATTCATAATTATAAATCATCTACTGCCATCTTATCCTGAAAACAAGAAAACGTGTTCTACCTTCAGAAACCATTTCATGTTCTGGGGTCTCAAATCGATCCTCTTGGTCACTGGCTACCAGGAAACTGTCATCATCTGGTAGGGGTTCTTCTGATGGTCCCGCCTCTTCTGGTGGCAGGTCTTCTCCTGCAACAGTGACAATGCACGCTGTGAAGTGGGTCATGATAAAGGCCCCGTGGCAGCCCCTGAAGGGTACTGCTTTAGCTCTCCCACTACGGAGCATGTCCCAACCCTCCTATGGACCCCTGCTGGTGCCACCATCCCTTCACTCTGAAGATATGTCCTCACTCTGCCCAATTCTGGTCTTCCCGAGCCAGTGGGGTAGGGCAAGTCTCTTTTCAGTAAAATGAGAACTCATCATGAAAAGGATCCTACATATTCAATTTATTATGTGTACCCAGAATGTATTCCTAGTCACAGAAGTGCTCAATATTCAACATTCATTATCTGCTCAAATTTCATGACCTGTTTGCCTCTTCAATAACCACTGTGTCAAAGAAAATATCACCTAATGATCTTTCCCTGAGCGCTGGCATAGAAGCCCACAATGCAATCTGAAGTGACTTTCAAATGGTTCCACACACAGACCAGCCTACATAACTTACCAGCTATGTCATATGACTGATGTAGCAGCATGCAGACCTTCCACTGAGAAGCCTTTAGGTTAAATCTGCCCTTTCTCACTTCTGAAACTGACTTCTATGATTCACTGAGCTGGTCTGCTGCTTCTGCGCAAACAGACATTGGAAAGGCTATCTAAATGCACTGCAACGTGGTTTGGATTGTTGCACTGCTTAAAAACTGTCCCAGCAGTTACTGTCCAGGGACCCTGCAGAGCAGCTCCTGTGCATGCTGCTCTAACTACAGAACACGAGTGAGGTGCACTTAGCTCTGACTTTGTGCAGCCCTCAGACCATGACATGGGTCTGTGCATTCACAAAGTGGGTTATCTACTCACAACACTGCTATGAAGAGGAAAACAAAAACAGCTATCTCTTAACATGCTTCATAGTGTTACTGTTACTCTTCTTATTACAATACTAACACTATAGCTTCCTGACTAACACTCTCAGCTGTGATGAACCACACTGACCTCTTGGTACTCAAACTTTCCTTGCTTCCTGTCTTCTAGTCATAGCCTGGTATATTGTTTCTCCTGGGATTCATTTTCCACTCCCCAGGAAGCAACTCACTAATCCTTATTCCTGTTGTGAACTTTTTTATTCTTCTCTTCTTAGCATATTCCCCCTTCTTTATCCTCCTTCCTAAGTATTCATTGCAGTTTCATGATTTTTAGGGTTACAGATAACATAATCCTTTCCACTAGTTAAGCAAAATTTCCCTTTTTTCGGTAGGGAGACCAAGTACCACTCTAACCCCCATTGAGTCTCTACTGCTTAGTGAGAGCCAAGTATGAAGAACATGACTTTTTGCAAGTTTATTTAACACGATATTGCCAAGCCCTCTACAACCATTACATCAACCCTAGGGCAAAACTATTATCCCACTTTGAAAGATGAGAATTCTGAGACACTGTGCTAAAGCCACACTAATGAACAGCAGATACATGACTTGGCTCTAGTAATGAAACATACTGGTGGGGGAAGGAAGACAGATGGTTTAGAGATGGTGCGCAGAGAAGGCATGTTGGGATATGAAGATGGGGCAGAGGTGGGAAACTTATCCCAGCAGGAAATAAATTATAACAAGATCTTCAAGGCACGGGCACTTTTGGGAATCAAAAGGAAATCCAGGGAAGGTCAGCTGGGTTACAGAAAAGGGAGCAATTGCGATGAAGTAAAGCAGGACTGGCAGGCCACATGAGATCAGGGATACAAAGAGTGAAAACAGACATGGAGGATCCAGCCACACGCCACAGCGGAGGTCAAGGCAATTGGCAATGGTCATAGCCGGCCACCAGAGTCAGGATGGGTGCTGGAGGCCATGCTGACAGGACCTGCTAATGGATTAGATGTGAAGGCAGACAAGAGAAATCAAGGAACACGGGGTTTTTAGTGGACCCAGCCATGTAGGTAGGAAGGCCATTAGCAAAACTGCATGAGACTAGAATAGAGGCAGTTCAGGGACGCAGGAGCTGAGGAGTGTGGGAATGAGCCAGGAGATGAGGAAGAACGAAGAATTCCAGGTTAGATAGATTCTAAGACTGAGATATACCAACAACATTAAAATGGCAATAACAGGTGCATAAGGGGGTAAAGTAGAAGTTTAGAGCAGAGATCAGGGTTGCATCTATATATATCCAAGTTACCAGCATATAAATAGTATCTAAAGCCATGACCATACATGTGATTTTCTAAAGCAAAAGTCTCAGTAAACAAAGAGCAGGTGCTAGAAGTGTGTGGCTGGGAACATGATGCTAGACTGAATTCCTTCCTCTGGCTGGAAGCCCGCCCCACGCACCTAAAACTGCCTTTCCCCTCTCTGCAGACCTACATTGGCTAACTTGAATTTGGCAAACCATCTCAATTCACTGGGGTCAGCAGCTCAACCTCCATCTGGTCTGCCTACTAACCTCCTGCACCTTCCCATACAAGTCTCTCTTGCTGTAACCAGAGTGTACAACATTGCTAACCATGCTGCATGGGGGGTCAATTACTCTCAGTGAGAAACTCTTATCTCACTGCTTGTGCAACCCATGTGTCGGCTATTCTGATGGTTGCAGATGCTCTGGCCTCTGGGCTTCACACACACTGCGCCCTCTTCTGCAAACACTAGCAACGCTAGCCTGGAGTTCTCCACCAGCCTTCAGCTCCTATACAGAGGTGTCCTCTCCTGCAGGGATGTTTCTTCTTGCTCTACGTGGATAAGTCCCATAGAACACAAGTTTCCCCATTTCAGCACTTTGCTTCACTATGCTGAAATCCCTTCCTTAGACTGCATCTCCCTCGTGCTAGGATACAACAGAAACAGACTGTGGCAAGGGAACGACTACTAGCTCAGATGGGCAGAGCTACATTCAAGACAGTGGCTTCCTACAGCCAACAGAGGAAACAGCTCTTGCATCCCTAACAACCATTAGCAAACATCAGTTCAAATCACAGGGAATGTTTGTGTATTTAAGGCACACGATTATTTCCCCCTTAGGGCTACTTTGGGACTGCACCAAGCCAGCATGGGTGTCAGGATACAATCCCTGCATGAGTTGTTTTTGGAGGGTTATGTCTTCCGCTTTCATCAAGGGACACTTAAGAAACAACCTTACAAAAATGAACAGCATTGGTTTCTAGATTATCACTGAAACTTTTCTAACAGAATTCACAGGAGAACTTTCTGAGATCAATGTTAAGTGTTGAGAAAATGCTTTATATCCCCTAAGTTGGTAATGTGCTTTTTTTCCCCTGTCTGAAAATATAGCCTACCAATAATGAAAACTCTCATTTTGCTCTGGCAACCAGCCCGGTATCAAGGAAGGTGAAAGTTGATGACAGCACCCAATGAGCCAGCAGCATCTTGTCCGTGACATGTTCCTCCTCTCAGCCCCACCCATTCATCCTTGGTTTACTTGTCCTCACTTAGTCCATCACTTTGCCAGGTATATGGCAATCACTTTTAGCAAGGTAGGGTAAAATCAGGTAAACCTAGCTCCATTTTAGACATAGTATTTGGGCTCTGATGATTGGAACACATTTTTCTTTTTGGAAAAGTAACTCAAATATCCAATTAGTATGTAAATTTTAAAGTAATGTCCAGGTCACTTCAAATAAACATTATTTTAAAAACTTGCAACAAGTTAATTTTATTTCATACCATGCTCTGTGTGTACCATTTCATGAAGAACAGACTGAATCGGTTCATCTACTTCATCTTCGATATACTGGGGTTCTAAAATAATTATAAAATCAAAAGTAAGTGGAAAATATCCAGGCATTAGTGTGGGATTCTCTTATTCAAATATGGCATTCTTGTATATATACATATTAAGAACAATATATTTGGCTAAGAAACTATACATCTTTCCATATCTGTTTACTAATTTTCCTCCCATGTTGGAAGAAAGGTAAATACTGAACATTGGTTTTATTTTGTCACCAAACATAAAAGTTAAAAATATTTCAATTTTTTAAAAAGAACATTGGTTTCAGATTTTTGTGAAAGTTTCACTAACAGTAAACTCTAATTATGAACATTCACATTAATGATAGAATAAAACGAGAAGGACAGAGCTTTCACACGGGAAGTCCTGGGAAGTAAGAGCAGAGGTGTGGACGGCAAAGCCGACATGGTGTTAAGCACACGGTCAGCACCCGAGTTGTCAGGGTTGACCAGCCACTCCTGGAGGGGAGGACATGTGAGTAGATGAAGTGGCAACTGGAACTGACCATCCTTTCAAGTTGGCAGAAATGTATCAGACAGATCCATGCATTCAAACACAGGTGACTCACAGAAGTGAACACGAAGGATGACATCTGACACCATGCTGCCTGTCAGGTTGGCAGACGAGCGGCAACACCGCATAACAAACAGGAAACTCTCCATTTCACCGACATTGACGTTACTTTACTAACATAGCCTGCATGCTGGTGAATAAAATAGGCCCTAGACATGGCATCCTAAATGTTGTCGTGTGAGATGGTGTCACAATATCAGTTATGTCAGAGAGCTAATCTTCAACAGCAACAGTGAAAAAGGTAATTTTAGGAAGGGAAGAAGTTTAATCACACTGCAAAATTATTTCAAAACACAAGACTGCCTTGTATTTTCATTGATGTTTGTTTCACAAACTGTTTCCATACAAAAGTCTCCAATCTCCATTCTTCATAAGTATCTCTCAAAATACCTGTGACAGCTGCTTACCTGGATCCCCTGTGTCCCATCTGCTGAAAGCACCACCCCCGCAGAAGAACGAGTCACTAGACCAGAGAATGCAGGACCTCATTCCTCCACGTAAACCCTGTGCTCTGTGCTGGCCTCCTTCCCCCACACAGGTGGAAACCCAGGCTCCCAGGGAAACAGGCAGTGAGACGGCTACACCTGCTCCCTGCACGATTCATCTGAGATATCTACCACATGCGTCATCGACACCTCACATTCAGATCTTACAGGAATGGCCAAGTCACTTCATGTCATTAGATACTGTTTTAGTATCTAATGACAACTTAGCTTTCCATTGACTTTGAGCTCCATATTTCCCAAATGCTCTTTCTCTCCCCTGCCAGAGGCAGAAGCCCAAGTGCAACCAGCTGAGTAATGAATGGAGAACATGGTGAGAATGCAACTGCACTTTCTGCTTTTATACGTGTGACTGCTAGGGGAAAGGGGAGGGACTGGATGGCGGACAGGAGTTGTTCACTGCATTTTTATGAGAGTTAGGTAACTATGTTTACAGAATGGGTGGGTGGACTCAAGGGCAAACAAAGAAGCTAGGCACTTAGACAAGAGGAAGTTTCACAAGTTAACACTTATAACAACTGTTACCAAGAAGTTGAAGGGATTTGAACGCATAATAAACCAGTACACTAAAGATCTTTTAAAATTAAGGAATACTAGAAACAAAGGAGAACATATACAAGTATGTATAATTTTAGAAAAACAAAATGCTTAAATTTTAAATTTATTCTACAGCGTATGATTTGCTGGGTTGAATCCAAGTTTACTTTTCTAAAAAAAAACTAAGCAAAAACTCACTATTTTGGTTCTGGAGGCACAGTATGACTATATCAATTTCACAAGCATTGAATGCCAGAAGACAATAAAACCTCCAAACAATACAGTGATCTTAAAGAAAAAGGAAAGCCAAACGTCTTATCATCAGGATGCCTCTGGAATCCAATTTTTTAATATCCACTATTAATTTTTAGCATCCAATGTTATACCTAACATTGCCAATAGGTGGCAGAATAAGACCAAATTTCATAAGAACTGTGTCTGAAAACTGCAGTGGAATTTTACAGTATCCAGAGAATAGTAACAGATTAAAATTTCATATATCTAAGATTTCCAAACCTATGGGTGTAGTGATTACAGATGGACTGAATTGATCTATGAATCCCCGCAGGCGTAATTGCAGCCTCTCATAGGAAGACATGGGGTATCTCGTTATAGCAGTGGGACCCTCATAAACAGACTGGGAGTACAGGTGCCCACATCTCCCATCAGGATGCCGAGGTTCCACTGCTGGATCCAGTTCCAGATGCCAGCTTCCCATCCAAGCAGACCCTGGGAGGCAATTTCGTAAAACCTACATGAGAAAGTTAGATGGTCTTTGCTACTATACGTATCTAAGGTGTGACTCAGTAGATGGGTCGGGACTTCCTCTCGCTGGCCCTCAAATAATTTTTAAGTTGTTTTAACGTGCCAGGAACCCACTCTCTGAAGTCATGGGGTAAACAATGACAACACTAGTCCTGCGTCTGTTTTTATTTGCAACATAACATAGTATGGAAATGTTGGAATTGCAATGAAGAAACACAGCCTTTAGTTTTCGGGGTTCCTGAACAAAGGACAATGGTCTATGCCTTGGGTTCTGGATCTCCAAGATTAAGATCATGCTGAGCAAATGTCACCAGGAAAAAAACAAAAGAAGTATACTACAAGATTTCCAAAGAGAAGATAATGTAGTTATTCTGTAAACGAAGTGAAGCCAAGTCCCAGGCAGAGGATCAGTGCCAGACTAAGATGGCCCCTGGTGAGACTCCAGCAGGACTTACCTGCCCGCAGGTGACCCAGCTCCTCCAGCTCATCCGGCAGCTCCACATCCTCGGGAGGGGCTCTCCGCTCCGAAGCAAACGCTTCTTTAGCAGATCCTTCTTTAAATCCTGCATTTTTTCATTTACAAGGTTACCTTCAGCTTATTTACTTTTTGGATATATTAAATCAGAAAAAAAAAACCAATACCCTCAAACATTGTCATCAGTAATATAAAGTAACTGACAGTGTTTTACACATTATAACTGAAATGGGACAGTAGTTTCAACTTCACAGGGGCCTTTAATAGCTTCTCTAACATAACCTTTCACTTAAAGGCCAGCAGAGAAGTTCTTGTTTGAGTTCACAAATATCTGAATACACACGGTAAATGCACAGGAAGCAGCTCCTTGTGTTTGCTCTAACTCCTGAGCCCTGGACGCAGCTCATCAATGAGAACAGCTAAGACGCACTTGAACTTCCTGTTACCCTGTGCACTCCATAAAACCTTAATGCTTTCCTTCACTAGCCCTCACAGGCTTTTTCAGGATGTGCTTGATGGCACAGGGGCAACTCAACAGTTTCCCATCAAAAAAGATAAGCATTTCAATTGCCTGAAAAACTTAACTCCTGCTGCATTTTAAAAAGGTTTCATTTTGGGTGGTGGTAGTGGAGGGGTGAGCAGGGATTCTGCTGCTTGAAGAAAGTTGAAAACACTAATACTTCAAAATTCAGACACACAACACCCCTAAATGGCTGGATTTCTCTAACTCAACCTGGAGTTCTGTTTAAAATTTAAATTGTAAAACAAATGAGAAATGTAACAGTGGAACACCAGGCCCTCTAATGGGAAGAAACATTGAGCTGTTTTTTCCATCCAAAGAGGCAGCTGAATTATAAATTCATTAACATCAGGTCACAGCTATTTCCAGAGGTGAGCGCTGCACAGAAATAATGCTGTCAGCTTTCCAGACCCTGGGCTCATAAGGGATCCCTTCCCTTGGATCCCTAGGAACCCATTAAAATTTAACATGAATACATTCTGTACTGGACATGCCGTAGAGAATTAGCCCTGCAGGCTTTTATACTGGTGTGGTTCCTAATGCCCTGGACCCCATTTTTTTTTCTACCCAAGTTGCTTTTGGCTCACAAATTTGAGGCAAAATGTTAAAAATTAAGCAACAAAACTAATTCATACGGTCAACTCAGTCAACAAAAAGTTTTCAAAGTGGATTTATTACGCAGTAAAAATAGCAAGGAAATCAGTGAAATAAACATTATTAGGCAATGAAATGAAATTTCTCAATTTTCATGTTCCTGGGCTGCAGACAACAGAAAGGCTTGAGTCAGAAGAAAAGTCCTTCTGAGACTGCTTGGCTGGGAAGAAGCTCTGGCTTTATGCTCACGCCGTCCGGGCTCCCCATGCAGCTTCTCCCCTGGATGACAGGACGGCCCGAAGCAGAGGGTCACCTAGGCGCTGCCTCTTTCCTGGGCTTGAAGGGATCCCTTTTAGGAGTTCCCAGCAGTCTTCCCTTTCAGTCCTAGTCCTCAGAACGAGACTCATTCTGCCCTCCGAGCTGGTGAGACCACCAGGCAGCCACAGCTGCCACAGCCATTAGTGCTGAATGAACGCAAGTCCACCTTAATAGTCTCAATGCGACTTTGAAAATTAAGCCAATCCCCTTTAAACATCTTGTTTTTAGTTCTTTTGTTATATGCAGACATTTATTCAAAAAGCTAACATTTAATTACTCCGATTTTACTTAAAACTGGAAATTTAAAAATAGATAAAATCAACCACAAGATCAATCCCTCATACATACGGAATCACTTACACATTATCTTAGTATAGGAATTAACTTACTTTACTCGCTGTTACCCTAATCCACCTGACACAACAGGAAAGCATGAATGCATCACCTCCTTTAAGCACAAAGGAAGACTAAACTCTGTAAACTGCTCATGGGATTCATTCAATCAAGATACTTAGCAACTATAAGTGTAGGGCCCTGTTGTATAGTAAACATACAATATTCCAACACTGCAGAGAGTGCAATTTATAAGACATGAAGCATGAACTACTTTGGACAGAAACATATGCTGTGGAGGCAATGCAGAGGAGTGAGGCAGCAGGGAACGCCAAGGGACTATCCACAATCAACAGGTATGACTCTAACATCTACATCCCCAAGGAAACCCAGGTTGCGGCATGAGAGTCAAATTGGGTGAAGGGAACAGCCCACATTTCCTGTTCCTGGGATGTGCTGGGTTAGGAGCAGCATGGTGGCTGATGCAGCAGGACCAGAGTATGTGTCCTTTAAATATTCTGGGACACAGTGAGAGCTACTCCAAACTGAATGCATCATGGCATGACCCTAGATGAACAGGCAGATTTCAGAAAGGGGATGATGAAAATGACCCCAAAATTGGATAGCTGAAAAAGTTTCTAAGATTCCTGGTTTTAGGACAAATGCAGGAACGCCATGACTGCACTTTAACAATGAGTAAGATTCAGTTAACGGACTTGTGACAGAAGGAAGACCCTCCAGCACTCTGCCACAGCAACATTCCATCTCAAGCACACTACTGCTGCTCCATCTTGGTTACCACAAATACAAAAAGGGAATAAAACAGTATCCATCTGAAAAGTTTAAGGATTAAATTAGTCCAGTAAATTCTATCTTGACATATTTACTATAGAATAATAGAAATATTGCACCCACTTTTCCTTTATTTCATTTACACCAATTTAGTGCATTCACCTTCCCCACATATAGACATGAATTATGGACAACCTCCATGTTGTTAAAACCTATTGTAATAAAAAAAAGATAGCATTCGGGATACACCCCCCCCCAAATAAATAAATAAATGTCATTTCACAGACCTCCCCCCACCAAAAAAAACCTATTGCAATTATGGAGGAGTCTTGGGTTTTCCTTGTTTAAAAATCTGAACACTTTCTTCAACAGTGCACACTGTGGGATATTTGACCCCTGAAGCAGACCACCAGATGCCCAAGGAGCCAAAGTCTCCGACATTCTGACAGAGAATACTGAGGAAGCAGACTTCCTGCTGGGATTGCTGGTGGCCTTGCTGGCCAAGTGTGACTGGGAATGTGGGAGGCACCTCGCTATCTCTTCCTCTTCTTCTAGTGCTTGTGGCCTAAATGTATCTGAGTACAAAGTTTTGTTATGTTCCTTTTCTTGTTAGATCTGTTTACCAGCGTTGGTTCCTGTAACTCCTTTTTTCTACACCGATGCCTGAAGCCAGCTGATCCTTTCCCAAATTCCTTGTGATCTATCTTTAGGGTGGCTTGTATGCTATTGTTTAGTTAACAAGTAACTTTTTCCTGCCTGCTTGCCCTGAAAAAATCTTAGCATAAAGATGCCCGGGAAAACTCAATAATGTGTGCACTGGTTCATCTTAATTTTGTATCTCCTGTGTCCCGATTCTTCTCAGCAAGGTGGTCACACTTCAAGTCCCAGTCCCCCCCTAGGCGAAACCCCTGGAGTCTCAGTCCCCCCTGGAAGAGCCCCCAAAAGCACACCCAGCTGAAGTGTTTTTAAATGTTCTGTTTTGCATATTTGCCACATGTGTCTATTAATAACGTAGGTTCCCGCACCCAGTAGCGGGAGTTCATTCAGCCTGGCAGCAGAGCCCAGAGAAGGAGCAGGATGATGAGCATGGTAACAGGTGCATGTAAGGTACAGCCCCTCGGAAGGCTCTGAGACACCTAAGTGCAAACATGTTCCCTTCACTGGTCATGCAGGACATGCAGAAAAGTTCCCCACACAGAGCAAGGGCACAGTCTAGCCAGAGTAGCAGGTGACGTTGGCAAGCGCCGCTCAGAAAATAAACTGTGTGATCTGGCTGCCTTCAGTGCAGATGAGGAATGGGGCAGACTCTGCCTGATCCAAACCTCTCCCATCTTCTTCAGAGAACAGCACGATGGTTTCCTTTTGCGGAACTGTTTTCCCATCACCCAATGGCTTTAATAAGTGGATAGTGGACTGACCCAGGTCTTGTGATCGCAGCCCATTCTCCCACCCTCCCTCCGAGAATTAAGAGTTAAAGACAAGCATGTGGACTCTGTCTGAGGAGGCGGCCAACACTCTGGCAGAGGCCACAAATGGACAGAGCGGTCCAAAACACTGTTTGCACTCCTCAACCAGTAAAAATCAATGACAACCTGGGGTTTACAATCATGTGAGGTAAATCAATATTTTGTCCATATAAACCAATTTGCATGGATTTACTACAAGTAACCAAAAGATTCTGGGAAATACTTGGCAGAAAATCTGTTAAATATATTCCCAACTTCCTGAGGTAGAAAAATCTCTTTTTCCATAGAAACAACAGTGACAAGAAGACATAGAAACACAGAGAAAATGCAGAACTGGCCTTTCGGGACCAAGCAGGTTTTTGCTCACTAGAGTAGAAAACCTGAGGACCAGCAGGGTGCTTCTACGGAAAGGCGTCTTACGAGTACAAACTCACGGCTGGGTTTTTTTAAGGTTGGCCAGTGATAAAACTTCCCAATGGTTTCCTACGCTTAAGATTTGTGTTTATAATGTATTAAGTGACGTACTAAACTTCAGACTTCATCATTAGTGTTTCTAGCGTTATGTGGTATGCTCTAAAACTAACCATTCTTGTTGTTTTACAAATATATAGTGTTCTTAAGTATTTTGAATTGCCTCATCATCTCGGGAGGCTAACTCTGTCTAGGATACCTACTTCACAGGTAGATTTATTACAAAGGACTCCAGACCTGTTGAAAACAGGCAAAGTTGCAGTGACTCCAGATTTTTAACCATTTCATTACCATTGCTGTGCTGAAGCAAACAGAACCTGAGGCCCCACGAGGTGCCAGCGGCCCCCACCAATGCAGCGTCAGGTGGCTCCGACAAGCTGAGCTGCAGGTTTTCAGTTCTATCTAACAATACCAAAGTCACCAACTCCAAGATACACTACGCAGTGAAATTCTCTGAATAATCAAATCTAATAAGTATTACCAAAGGCACCAAAGTCATGAGTCACAGCCTAACGCATCAGACCCACTTCACAGAAAAGGAGTTACCTCAAAACATGTGGCATTGAAAGTCACTGACTTCCATTATTTTTCATGGTAGTATTTACAGACTTAAGAAATCATTGTAGAAACCTCTAATAGTACAAAATATTGTCAGTGAATTCGACCCCTCTGGAGCTGAGTCAGTCTCAGGACTCGTCAGGGACGGAAATACGTCCATTTCTCTACCAGTCTCTCAGGAGACAGGATCCATGCACGAAACCAACTAACCATCCTTAAAGTACAACTGAAATGTTTGCTTGAAAAAGAGAAAGGGAATGGGGGTCTGGCATCATGATTAGGGTTCTGCCTGGGCTTGATGCCAGGTTCCAGCTCTTGTGAATGCAGATCCCGGCAGGCGGCTTGAACAATTGCATTTCTGTGGCCCATATGGAAGACCTGGGCTGTGTTCCTGGCTCCTTGCTTTAGCAGTCACCAGCTTCAGCTGTTGTGGGCCTTTGGGGAAAACCAATGGATAAGTGTTCTTTCACTTGCAAATAAATGAATGAATTGTTTTAGAAGGTAAGATTTCAGGAAGTTGATTACAAGTCCTATTAGAAAGAATGAAGATTCACGCACAAACTGAATGCAGCACAGAGGTTAGACAATGAAGAACTCCAGGCCTGATAGTCTATGTGAGAGCTGGCAGGACACCTGGCAGGTCACATGGGCAGACCACTCTTCAGCAAGGAGGTAGCTGGTGTTTGATAAGATTCACCGCCCTATAGCTTATCGATTTGTACTTTTAAAAAGTTGCTTGCTTCAAACCCACCAACAGAAGCCTGCTAAATCATGACTGTATAATTAATAGCCTAAAATGTATAAGAACACTGGGCTGTTCAACCGGGAGCTCGGGCTCGCTCCCTCTTCCTTCTTTTCGTCCTCCCTGTGAATCCTGCAGCAGCCTCGGCTGTGATAACCCCTGCCCTGCCCAAACATGGGCTGGGGGAGGCAGCTGGGAGACCTAGGCTAACCTGAATGAACCACCTTTATGCCTTCGCACCGACTTCAGACTTGATGATTTTCTGGGGATTTAAAAAATCCAGCACAACAACACAACAACAAAGAAATCAATGATGTAATTGTTTCAAAGAAAGTGACGTGAACAGCACAAAATAAAAAGAGATTTTTAGCTAAACTTACAATCAAATATTTATATAAGACTAATCATGTTTATGAAAAGTAGGCTACTAAAATGTGAAATGTTACCATAGACAGTTTAGGAAAAATTATGCCAATACAGTTCTTAGAAATTGTTAAGTATTATCATACACCACAATTTAAAACAAAATATTGTCAATAATACACAAAGAATTACATTCTGAATATTTAATTTTCACTTGTGAAGTCTTCCTCAGAACTTCTTCTGACTCCCTACTATGACTATTACAAAATCATGTCCCTGTTCTTAGTTGGTTTATTTTGCTCAGACAGGGTCATCTTTCTGTACTTAATTATACCTAGGTAACAACACAAAGGAACAACCACTGGCTTCTTGTTGTATTAAAGGTGATGCAAAACAAAGTGCTAACATAGTTTTGATACATTAGGTTACTAAGTTTTCAGTTGAATCTAAATACAGCTGGATAAAGTGTAACCTCAATTTCAAAAGAAATGTTGAAGCTTTTTTATCTAGTAAACAAAGGGGTGGAGGAGGAGCAGAAAAGGGGAAGAAAGAGAAAAGACGATGAAGAAACTAACCAGGTTCCAGTTCCCAAGTGCTCTAGAAGTATCCTAAAACATTCTGGTAGAGTCTTAATTCTTGAATGGTCCAAGCCAGGATGAAACTGAACGATTTCCAAGCACCTGACTGAGCAATAGATAGTGCCTATGGGCTTAGGCCAATCGGGGTATTATAAACCGTTTCACTCATCTAGTTAGAATTTAGGATTTCCGTGCTTCCTGCCCCATAGTCTTTATCTTTCAACAAGATAAAATTACTAGAATTGTCCTAACTATAATCCTCTGCCCTCTGTAAGAGAGAACAGTCCACGGAGAAAGTTAACTCTAAACATTTCATGCATTAACAAAACGGCAATCCATCCACCTATCTCAGCAGCAAGACAGAGCACCACGTGTGCTTTTGAAAATGTCATGACTTGTGTATGTGCAATGAGGACCTGCTTCCCTTTTTTCTGTCCATTTCTTCATCAGAGTCATTCTCTCGCCCCACGAACCCTCCTCCTTGCAGTCTGGCGGGGGAAATACCCAGTCAATCCTTCTTGAGCAAGCCAAGAAGACTTCCCAGCACGATTAAGGGTCACAGTGCCCACCACACCTAACCCAGCTGGCTGGAATTCTTCCCCAGCTTCTCTCCCACAGCCAGCCCATAAACCAGCACCCTTGCAGCGGGGCTGAGAAGCAGGCAAGGTGTTGCTGAGGCTCAGACTCCTCTTTCTCCGGAAGTGGCAGCTTGTCTCTACAGAGTGAAGCTGGGCAGAAGGCAGCAGAGCCAACGGGGATGAGGGCTAGGGAGCAACACAGCCCTGATGACATCCTGCACTTTGTATCTACTTGCTGAAGTCAGGAAACCTGTGTTTGCAACCAAAGGAGTCCTAAAGCTAGCTTCTTATTCAAAGTGTTACTGGAATCCAAACAGAAAAGTCCTGACTAATCAACAACTGCTAAATTTGGGTCAAGTTTCTACCCAAGAAAGCTTCAGACTGGATTAAACAAAGGCATTGGATTATTTATTCTCTAGGATTTTATTCTTTGTCTAGATTTTAATATATTATCCTAGGATTTTCCCTTGCTGTGCATTACTACTGCAGATGTTGGATTTCTCACCACCAAATGCTAGGTATTTGATTCCCACCAATGAAAGCTGCCAGTATGCAAGAAAAAAATACACATGCAAACTACAGGATATATAGGTAGGTATGTATGTACATACATTTTCATAAATGAACTATATAATGGAGACCAGCATACTGAGAAGTGAAACCATGCTGCAGTATGCATCTTTACTCTCGAATGAAAGGAGGATTCCCAGTGAAACCGTTAAATATACCAAGACCATACTAGATTTTCTACCTTTGTCTATACCTGCAATGCCTTGATACACTTACACAGCAGAATGTTAGACTTGTGACAGTTGCTGAAGGACTACATTACTGCAATAACACGGGACAGCAGTGGGGCAATTGGGGGAAGTGCAGGGGAGACTCCCCATGCCTACGGAACCATACCATGAAAAATAAAAAATAAAGTTTTAAAAAATTAATATATTTGCACTTAAGCTTACACATTTCTGCCTTGAAGCATCTGTGTAGCTTAAGCTCTTCGTACTAACAAAGGAAGGGCCATTTTATAAAAATATTTGTGGCAGCATTCAAGTATTTTATTATAAACAGGGTGTTCTCAATATCAACTGATTTTCTCCAGACATCACACATAAAAATTTCATACATACAAGGACCAGTGCTATGGCATGGCAAGTAAAGCTTCTGCCTCTGGTGCTGGCATCCCCCAAGAGCACTGGTTTGAGTCCTGGTTGCTCTGCTTTGGATACAGAAATCACTAATGTGACTGTGAAAGCAGTAGAAGGTGGCTCAGGTTCTTGGTCCCTTGTACCCACGTGTGTGATCTAGAAGCTCCTGTCTTCAACCTGGCCTTGCTCCAGGCATTGAGACCATTTGGGAAGTGAAGCAGCAGATGGAAGCTCTCTGTCTCCCCTGCCACTCCCTCTCACCACTAAGTCTGCCATCAAATAAATAATTTTTTTTTAAAAATGGGGCCCAGTGTGGTAGCCTAGCAGCTAAAGTCCTCACCTTGCAAGTGGTGGGACCGCATATGTCGCAGGTTCTAATCCCGGCATCCCCACTTCCCATTCAGCTCCCTGCCTGTAGCTGGAAAAGCAATAGAGGATGGCCTGAAGCCTTGGGACCCCGTACCCAAGTGGGAGACCTGGAAGAAACTTCTGGCTCCTGGCTTCGGATCAGCTCAGCTCCGGCTGCTGCGGCCACTTGGGGAGTGAATCAATAGACGAAGGTTCTTCATCTCTGTCTCTCCTTCTCTCTGTATATCTGACTTTCCAATAAAAATAAATAAATATTAAGAAAAATGAAGGCACGAGATACTGTAAACCACTTGCAGAAATATATTTCTTATTGAAATTGCATTTTATTAAATATCTTCTGAGAAGTTAAACTGATTTTTACCCAGATTTAAAATTTTCAGCTCTTGAGAAATGGTAATAATTATGATACAATCAAACATGAACAACAGATGTCATACAAAGAAAAGATAGATACATAAGCTGCAAGGATGCCCCGATTTGAAGTCATGATGCCTTTCCATAACTATTCCAAGTCTGTAAAGATTTTATAAACCAGGGTTCTGAAACTAAACTTCTAAATAGAATTTGCTCTTTTATTCAGGGACTAAATTCCGTGTATCTGGCACACAGTCAATATCTGTTGGAGGAGAGACAAGAAGTACCTGGAAGTGGTTCAAAAGGGAGGGATGGGGATAGTTGGGAGTGGAGGGAACATAAAGGGGTGAGGAAAGGAGACGAAAGAAAAAAAGAAAGGAAAGAAAAGAAAAAAGAAAGGAAAGAAAAGAAATAAGAAAAGGAAAGAAAAAGAAAAAGAAAAAAGACAGACAGACAGACTGGAGGACAGAACCCAGGTAAAGCATGAGGAATGAGGAGGAAGTGGGGCTTGAAAGACCAAGAGAGGCAGGGATGCAGCACAGGGGAAGAGGGAGGCAGCACCTAAGCCTGGGAGATACCCACAAAAGAGCTCTGGAAGAAAGAGGGATTAATAAATGGGGAGGAGAAGGAAGGAGCAAAGCATGATGGAAGGAGCGAAGGAGGATGGGAGGAACAAAAAGGACAGGAGAAAAGCAAAACAGGGAAAAGAGAGGGGAAGGAACACAATGGAAACAGAAACACCATCTTCTTCACAGCGTGTGCATGCAGCACACACCTGGACATGGCAGGCCTTGGGCCGAGTCACGCCATTGCAAAAGTTAACAACTGAGGTATTCTTACTTGTTTAACCCCAATGAAGGCATCCAAATATATTATCATTCAGAGTATACACATACACTTATCTGATTACATCAATAAATTAATAAAAACAGGAATTTTACATTAAAATTTAATGACACATCTTCAAAGCATCAGCTCTTAGTTTTAGAGGCATGAGACAATATATGTAAATTTCAAAGAATGTACTTGCTGAGCACCAATAAATACATTCCAGGAGTAATTCACACATCGTTCCCAACCGGGGGTAATGTTAAGTTTTAGATGCCTGTTTTTGTGGCCAGTCACGATCCAGAATATGCCATTTCCATGTTAGTTCTTTCTTTTCTGGCTGTTTCCCTTTGCTAGGAGTGCCAGTCTGGCAGAACTTCGGCTTTCCTTTCTGTCACTCTTCTCTCTGGGTGCCGGTTTACTGGGATCTTTCATGGGCGCTGACTTTCCCCTGTTCCCCTTAGTCTTTGAACTTTCTGCTTTCTCCTTTTCTCTGCTCTTTCTCACAGTAGGGGACGACTCTCTCCTGGATACTTCTAAAGCAGCCATTCTCTCACCCTTCCGGTCATCCTCTTTTCCTTTCTTTCCCTTTCTTCTCTCTTCATTCTTACTTTCCCTTCTTGACTCGGGTTTCTCTTTTTCCTTCTTGAACTCTTCTTTAATGAGTTCTTGGGTTTTCATGATTTTCAATCAAAGGAAAACATGTTTACTGACAATATGTCTTAATTCATAGAAGAGCAACTTAGTGAAAAACTCTCTTAAGATCTCCCAACACAGGAGATGCTGGTTAAGTTACTTGAACAGGTATTTTTTTAATGTTGACTAAGAAACACATGCACACACCTCCAGAACACAACACCTAGGAACCAGACACTAGAAACCCGCCATCATGTTTCTGCAGCTTGCAAAGTGGTATGACTTGCTTTGAAAAACCAATGTTAACATGCAATGCTATCAGAGTGAGTCCATCCCCAAAGGCAGTGCTTTACCGGGTTAACAATCACACTCCATCACTGTAACAACATAAGTAAAGGAACACTGCAAATAAAACTGAAAACTGTTCATAATTTGTTTCCGTGTCAAACTTTTGGAAAATTTTTAGCTCAAAAAACTAAAACTTTGAAAATATCTAGACTTGTATTCTTTAAAACTACACAAACAAAAATTAAATACAATTCAAATATTTTAGCTAATGAAGTAGTATTTAAATAACAAATAATATTTCTTTGCTACTTGTATTTCACATTGTGTAATTAGTATTCCTTTAAGTATGTTTCCCTGTTAATGAGCACAGACCCACAAGCCAACGGATGTCTTTCCCATTCCAACAGAAGAATCAGCAATTAAAAATGGAATACACACTAATTTCTAAATCTCAGGTGAGACACTGCTTTCAAAGTGCTTTTCACATAAAGTTTACTAGAGCAGTTACAAAATACTTTGAACTTTCCTCTCGTTATAAAACTATAACAAAAAATATTTACTGTACAATGTACCTCTGAAGCAGAGACAAAGGAAATGAAAGACCTCTTTGAAAATGCACGTGTTCTTGGTCATCACAGCCATGGAAAATTCACATAGCATCTCAGGCACACTGGATTTATGTGTTCACTAAAACAGGCTTCTGCCTTCTATCTTACTAGATAGTAGTCTTGATTAGCCAAAAACAAAACAAAACAAAACAAAAAAACCACATAGGATTTTTTCATTAGTGAATTTCCTGGAGAACAACAGGAAATCCTTCAATCCTTCCTGAATCTTAACAAAATCCTGCAATACAGAAGCCCATTCATTGAGAATCAACCACCAAGCCTTCATTCTCCTTCTCTGCTGTTTGTAAAGCAACACACTTGACATATCAAAACAATAAAATGTGCAATGTCACCAGGATTGGTTCTTCATAGGATCTTAACAAAATTAAACAACTCACATTTGATTTACCTGTCAGGATTAGGATGTAAAATTTTACTTTGTTGACCACTTATTTCATCATTATTTAGATACTAACAAATTATCTTCCTTGAAATTAGCTAGATCAGAACACAAATTGATAATATTGAAATTTCCTAATATTAAAATACAAATCTGGGGCCAAGTTGTGGAGCAACACCTCCTGCTGTGTCAGCATCCTGTATGAGTGCCAGCTCAGAATGCTGGCTGCTCCACCTCATATGCAGACCCCTGCTAATGTGGGAGCTCTGGCACCCACATGGGAGAGCCAGAGGAAGTTCCTGGCTCCTGGCATCAGACTGGCCTAGCTCTGACCATTATAGCCATTTGCAGAATGAGCAAACTGATGGAAGATCTCTCTCTTGCTTTGTTTTGCTCTCCATCACTGTATGTCCCTCCTTCTCTGTTACTCTGCATTTCAACTGAATAAATTTAAGAAAAAAAAAAGCTAAACATTACAAAATGATAAAGCGAAAGTATTCTCTGTTTATGTTTCACATTTTGCCAATAAACTACATGCAAATATACCAAGCACTCCACCACACACACACACACACACACACACACACACACACACACACCCCAGAAAGAAGTTTGATAAACCTCCTCATCCAAAACACATAAATGTTCGCATGTAGAAAAAGAAAATCATGGCAATATAAAATAAGGTTAACAGAGTATGCTCTTAGCTTACACATGATCATTCACAGGTATGGTTATTTTTAACAAACACAATAAGTTCCATACCAACATGATGCAGGACTCCACATCATGAACGTACACTTTCATCTTACTGAAAACTGCAGGTTTGACCATGCTGGTTTATACTGTGCTCTAAGACAAAATGCCATCAGAGCTTCCGGAGAAATGAAATCACTGAAAGTCTCATCTTTTTAAAGCAATAATTAAGAAAGTCAAACTAAGAAAAATTTTACACAGCAAAGTAGGATACATATGTGTAAATATGTATAACAAATATGACATTGTTATATACATTCTTATTAAAGACTATGGATAAAATGTCAAGGACATGATTTAAGATTATGGATTGATGGTAGACAATTTTCAACAAAGTAAAGCTGCTTGTGACTTAATGTGCACCCCAAAATCCAAAAGCAATAATGATTAGTATTAGTAGCTGCATTTACATAACACAGCCAAAAATGTCATGCATATTCAAGCAAGGCACTTTAACTCAAGGCTAACTGGGAAAACAGAAAGTACCTTTAGCCTTAGTTTTTCTCTTGGCTACCCCACCAGGTCCTTCTGTTGGTATTTGTAAGATGAAAACATGTTATGAAGGGAAAATACTAAGGGAATTAAAAAATAAGTATCTATACAATAATCAAAACCATCTCTATGAAACAAAATACTTAAATTCATCATAAAAACAACAATGCAACATGCAAGTTTCTTCGACTTCTGTGTCACTTTAAAGCCTTACTTTCACTATGCAGAAGACAAATGCATTTGAATCAGTTATGATTCAGTTTCACAAATTTCCGTAGGCCTCTACCAATTGTTTGCATTAAAAACACCTAAAGGCATTTCACACTTAGTTGTGGGCTGCTGCCTGGGCCACACATAATCTACGACAAGAGCCAGGGGTGAAAGACACAGGACCATGTTTCCTTACACGGAGCGTGACCGCCATTCAAAACACCACAGCGTATCTGCACAGATTATTGATCTTTGCTACTCAAACAAACACTGTTTTCTCCTGATGATTGCAAATTTCCTTTAAAAATAAGGGAATAAACAAGTGAAACCATTATGTAGGTCCATAATATCTGCTTCATTCTGTTTTTCATTTCCTTCATTCTATATTGATTTCAACAGTTTTCAGTGTGCTCTACTCCCAGCTGGCTCTGCTCAGCCTTCCACTCGACTGATCTTCCAATCTCCAGATCACATATGTTATCTGATTTTTACATATCAGCAGACTTTCAAAAAAAGGCATTCTTAACAGCCAATCCTTTTCCAATTTTTGTATATGTGCTGCCGAAGCGAGCACAGCCAATCCTTTTCAACGGCCCATCAGGGTGGAAAGTGTGGTCCTAACTGATCATCTCCTGGAGACAGAGGTGGGGGAAGCTCAGAGACGACTCCCTCTACAACCCACCCTCCACGGCTAAGTCCTCTGGCCTGCATTGCAGCTGTAAACTGTGGAACTCTGTGTTTCCTGAAACTGTACTCACACTCCCACTTCTGGCAGGAGACACTTCACGTTGCTCAAACTACCCTCTGTTCCTAAATTAACTCTCCTTTTTTATTCGCAGCAGATTGGTTCCATCAAATGACGTAATGCATGTGAGAGCAGCAGTTTGTTGTCATTAAGGTATCATCATTACCACTTGGGGGGAAAAGAGATAGTTTATCTTATACCTGACAAGGATGAAAAGAAGATGAATAACTCGAGAGCACTTACCGTTCCTACTAACTACGTCTGCCCAATTACTAGATATCTGTAGAGAACCGAGTAAGTATGAGTATGTGGCAAAGGGAGGTACTGTTTTTTTTATTCTCACAGCAACTTCATTCTTTTGTAAATTTATGTCAAAAGTAGCACACCTCCTTGACATACAGAATGTTATTTTGGAAAAACACTAGTGTTTATTTCAGAATAAAATATCACACCTGCTCCTGTAATACCATCTTGTAAAAACATGGGCATGGCTGAATGTATAAAAATTAGCATAAAGTATTAAAACATAATTTTAATTTTGCTGACATCTCCCTGATGACCAATTAATGTTCTCACGTGGGCCCAGGCTTTGTTAAAAAGCAGTGCTGAAAATCAGATTACCCATTCCCCACCACCACTTTTAGAACACAGTTTAAAAGAGCTATCTTCTTGATAAGGATACAGTTAATTTCTCTACAAGTAGGCAAAAATATTTACATTAGCAACAGAAGAGTAAAACACTAAAACAGTAACTACATTTATTTAAAACATTTCCATTTATGGTACACACGGTTGATACAAATGGGTCAAGTGCAATAAACCATATAAAATTCAAAGTACCAAACGGCGCAACTTTATCTCAACTTAAAAAATACAGTCATAATTTTTTTTTTTACATAAAAAAGATCAAATTGATACTTTAAAAGTCAAAGAGCAGTTTTAGGAAGGAAAATGTGAAGCAGGGTTTGAGAAGAGGGCAGCAGTGGATTGTGGAAGTTACAAAATGTGCTGTAGGCCATTGGATCAGTTAGACAAGCATCAGCGGAGCCATTAGGATGAGGAGACAATGCAAGTGGAAAGCTCATGGGGGGTGCCATACTTAGGAGAGTTGGTGATAGATGGAGCTTCCCAAGACTCGCAAGGGGCAGAAAAGGAGTGAACTACGAAGGAGCTTATCTGAGTTTGTATATTTTGAAGGCTGGAAAAAAGTAGGAATATCTGAAAGAAAAAGCTAAATTAGTGAGACAGAAGAGATGGTAAGGCCAGAAAAAGGTGCAGGAATAGGAGAAAGGTTAGCTTAGGAAACCTGAAGATGCAACCTCTGGGAAACAGCGATTCCACTGAAATATTCCATAGATGAGAGTAACCAGTTGTTTAAAAGTGAAGACAGAATGGTCAGAGTTGCCAGTCTAGAAAAAAGCAAAAAGCAAAATCATCTCCATAAAGCAGTAAAATGACCTTGGAAGATGGAAGAGAACAAAACAGATCTGGGAGGCTGGCTGCGAACACCTGCTCCAGGCACTAACTCCTCTGCAGCATGCTTTTTCCTAAAGATGTTGTGATGTCCAGTGGTGCAGAAAAGTCAAAAGTAACCCAAGACTTCTGCCAAGTGAAGATAAAAAACAAAAAGGATTTGGGAAGAACAAGTGGTCTTAGGAACAGCCTTTTTATTCTGATTCTTAGAATTAAAGTTTTAGCATTTGAATCTACAAAATGACCTTGCAGTGTCAAAAAATCAACAAACATGCCCTACTTTTCTTCTTTTCTCTGTTTATTATGTACCCAATACTCAGGGAGAGGGGGCGGGGGAGTGCTGAATCTCATCAAACAAAACTGATGGCAACATGATGACATTCAAAAATAGATTCTAAGCAGTATGGAGAAAATTCTATCAAGTAGATTTTAAAAAGAAGCATTTTGGCAATTTGTAATCCATTTGGACAGAAGTTGCTTTTACTGATGGAATCTCTTTCAAATTAATGTGTTAGAATGTGGTAAAAGCCAAAGAGAATGGCAAAAATGTATCACGCCATTCACTTACTTTTCAACCTTGTATTCCCATCTGGTTGTTTTATGGGTGTTACTGTTAGCTGTGGTAACTGGGAATTCTTCACAGCAAGTTTTATGGTCTTTAAGAATATTGCTTCTGGGGCCTTGCAGCATGGCCTAGTAGCTAGTCCTCGCCTTGAATATGCTAGGATCTCATATGGGTGCAGGTTCTAATCCCAGCAGCCCCACTTCCCATCCAGCTCCCTGCTTGTGGCCTGGGAAAGTAGTGGAGTATGGCCGAAAGCCTTGGGACCCTGCACCCACTTGGGGGACCCAGAAGAGCTCCTGGCTCCGGGCTTCAGATCGGCACAGCACTGGCCATTGCGGTCACTTGGGGAGTGAATCATTGGATGGAAGATATTTGTCTCTGTTCTCTCTCTCTCTCTCTCTCTCTATATATATATATATGACTTTGTGATAAAAATAATAAATAAGTCTTTTGAAAAAAAGAATATTGCTTCTGAGGTCAGCACTGTATGTAGCACAGTGGGCTAAGCATTCCATTTCAGTGACCATTTAAGTCCTAGGAGCCCTAGTCCCACTTTAACGCACCTGTGAAAGCAGTGAAAGATGGTCCCAGTGCTTGGGCCCCTGCTACTCACATGGGAGACTGAGATGAGTTCTTGGCTTCAGCCTAGTCCAACCTCAGCTGTTGCAGCTCTCTGGCGAGTAATTTCACAGTAATTTTTTCTCTTTCCCATCCCTTTTTTTCATCCCCTTCCCTCTGTCCTTTCCTTCCTATAAATAAGGAGAGGCCCTTCAAATAAATAAGTCTTTAAAAAGGATCCTTGCTTAAATCAATTTATGCTACTATGGTAATTGCCTCAAAGCCACTACCTCAAGTACATTTTCAAAATAAGATGGATTTTATGAAATCAAAATGTTTGAGTCAGACAGCCAGTGTTTGGACCTATGATGCCAAAACATGCAACAGGTAACAACTTCAGACAACTGGCTTCATGACTAATAGCCACATAGCCATCACAGACTTTTCAACACTGTGTTCAGGACTGGTTAGCTGGTATCACACACAGGATTTCAGTCACTTCCATGGTCCCTGATTGTTGAGACTCTGTGCCTTAGTTGCTTCCTCCTTCTCAAATTAGAACTTTGTGATCATTTCTCCATTGAAAACACGGAGCAGAAACAGTTTCCAAATACCTACCCAATGTCTTGTGAGTTTGGCAGACTCTAGCTCTACAACCAATGTCTAGTCTTGTGTTAAAATACAACTTTTTTTTTTCATGTTTAAATATCTAAATAAACAAAAATATTATATATATTTTTGGAAAGCACATTATGAATTACCAACCCTCTATGGGTAAGTAGGGAGGGAAGGAGAGGCTCATAACTGGAAAAGAGCAGGAAGGGTATATGTCCAGATGAAAGGATGAGTGAGAATGCAAATACACGTCACAGTGCAAAGATCACTTGAAGACCTTTGCTATCACAAGCTGATTTGCTTTGTGAATTCCAAAATGTATTTCCCTTGCCAAAAGCAAGTTCAATAATCCCCTCACTTCTTTCAGTTGGTGCAAAGAATAGTTGAGAGACCTCTAGGGGCTCTCACTCATTAAGATAGCATATGATAATATTCCTAAGAGACTAACCAATATCACATACTGCACTCAGCTTTAAAGACGAATTCAAATAAAGCTTAAGGCCTGATTCTTTCAACAACTGCATAATCCAGTTCATATCTGCTCCCAAATATTACATGGTTATATCAAACAATGACAGAGGCAAAGAATTGAGCACACTTGTCCCATCAACCAACTTCCAAAAATAAGGCTGTATTTCTCACTAAGTGCTCCCAAGATGCACTGTGATAAAGAAGATTCCACAGCTCCAATCACAAACAATGTCTTGTAGGTTTTATGGACTTCAGTAGCTAGCTAAAAGCATATTCAAAAAGCAATACTGAGTATCATGCCCCCATGGGTATAACTGCCATGAGATCAATAGCTAAGCACTTATTTGCTTTTACAGTTCTCTAAAGTTGGAAACATTAAGTTCAAGAATTGACATTGTTTGATCTAACTGTAAACAGAAGAAACCAGAGAAGCAAAAAAGTTTTCTTCCATGTCTGGATAGCACTCTACAAAGACAAAGGTCATCTGCAAATGAAAGAAGCCAGTAGGAGAGCCCAGGATTCCACTGTGTCGTCAGATACTGGATCTCTGCAGGTGCTGCGCATCTACGGCTGACAGCTGCTCTGGGGCAGCTGGCAAGAACAGCACTGCCAACACTCTTCTCCAACTGACCTTCAACCACCATGCTTGCCCCCGAGGGAAACCAGTGAGGAAAGAAGCAGAAATGCAGGAAAACAATTTTCCAGGGTGCCACTGCTTTGTTTTTGCAAAAACTCAGTGCCAGTCCCATGGAACAGTCATGTGCAGAAGTGAGAAACACAGCTGTGAATATATCACATGGCCTCTCAATTCCCGGTATAGTCCACTGAAATTCCTGGTTGTTCAAAACTTAAAACACCTAATAGAGCATGACTTAAATACTGTAAGCATAACCAAATAAATATGCTGGGTTCAATTTTGGCACATTTAAGTAAATTTTCTGGTTTAAAAGCCATGAGAAAGGAAAACATATATTGTATGAAACAGGTAACTACAAAATATTTAGAAAATTAAGATTTATATATAAAGTCAATTAAGACTTAGGTTGAGTTTTGTAGATCAGCTTCAAGGTTGTTTATAGCACAATATTGCAAACAGCCTTACATTTTCCCATTTACACACAGCCTTAGGTCCAAGCTGAAGGAAGTCACAGAATTCAGGGGTTCGTCAGCTACCTGTCTTTTCCCTCACTGGAAACTTTTCAAAAGGGCTGAGGAGAAGTGGTACAGAATACATGTCTAATGATTATCTCACATCCTTTCTTTCTACTTTAAAATAAAGCATAATTAATTTCTGTGTATAAAACATGTATTAGTATCATGACCAACAAGAGCGGAGGGAAGGCTGGTAAGAAATTAATGATTCCAAACATTTTTCACACACATTTAATTATTTACTTCTCATAAATTGCTCAAACATCTTATAGAGTTAATAGCCATAACACAATAACAACTAAAACTCTTTTTAAAGATACATCTCAGACATTTTAAGTGTATTTCATTTAGGAGGGAAGCATAATTAACTTGGTACTGAAATCCAAGGGCCTCTGCTATTGTACATTACTCAAGTTCACAATAGACACTGGCAAACTTCCAGAAAGAACACTACTAAATGATGCCATTTGTGGCAGAAACTTTTCTACTAAGACATGGCTTAGCTGAAGTGCTATACTATCTGGAAAATAGAAGATTCTAGTGCCAGAAACATTAACAAAATAAAGTCTGTTTCTTGAAAAATGAGGACAAGACAAATTACGTTTTAATTGCCATTCTGGCTGTTAAAGGCCACTATACAATGTACAACATGTGCTTTTGTATACAAAAGTAGCTAGAGAATGCTTGTAGTTAATAATGGCTATCCCATGTTTGCTGACCCCTGGACATGGTAGGCACAGGGGATGTGTGTCCTGTGTACTGACTCCAGAATTTAACTTTTCAGACTCTTTTTGTTGTAGCCTATAAGAGTGACTGATAATAGCGGGGGGAAATCTGTCATAATCCTCTCAAACAGATAAATAATACACTTACTGAACACAAGAAAGCAAGTTAGATAAATACACAAAAACAAGAAGTTGTATGGATAAAGTGTTTAAACATGCAAACATTTTCAAGTCATAAACTCTTTGAGGAAACAAAGTCCAGAAAATTTCCTGAGAAGCTCAAAGTGACTTATAAACATGAAATTCCACTGCAACACAGAGTGACAAACTGAGGGCCCACCTCAAGCCCTAGTCTTTTCAAGCCAAAACAGATTGACCTGACAGTAATATGAGAAAAAAAACATCATTGGATTTCACACCTCTTATTTAGACAATACAATTGTTTTTGACATATTGACATTCATTTTAAGGAAATTTATTTAAACATGTTTGTTGCCTGTAAGGTTTTCTAATGGGAAAAATGCGTTTCTCTAATAAATTCATTTATAAATCTAAAAATCATACGCATGTATCCAAGCCAAAATTGGTAGTAAGTTAATAAAGGAAAAAATAGAAAAGACTTTAATTTAGGATCAATAATTTTAATATACAACATTTTAAGATACATATTCACATTTTCCCTTTCATATGTCAACTAAAAAAATACAAATTATTTTGTCTGAATGTCTATTTGAAAATAAAACTAAAAATAAATTTGGCTTTCACAAGCAGAAATATTCAGACATCCTATTATCTGAACATATTAACTTAATTACCCTAAGGTAAAACCAAGGGATTGCTTTAAAATTATGTGAAAAGCACCATTAATACAAATGTTTACATTGAAACTTGTGTGAGCCTATCCGACAAGTTAGTTAATCCAAAAACAATCACAAAGAAAATATCAGCTTTTGAAATACACCATTTTACAGACATGTTAAGGATCAACAGAAAAGCATTTACGTCACGAATCATGCAGGAAATCTTTGTATAATTAAGTCCAACAGTATCATTCTCATTAATGTGTTAGAAAGACAAGCATCAAAGGTTAATCACAACACAAACTGCTACTGTTAAGTTTCCAAACTTAGTTCAGTGAATACATAAGTCAAAATAGAACAACACAGAAATCAACTATTCCCCCATGAAAATCAACTTCAATGCATTTTGCGAATGATGGCAACAATAAGGAATGCCATTTTCTTCACTAAAAGTGAAGGCAGTTGAGCAAGGGACTAGCCAGGAGCCATAGTGGGCAAGGTTCATTTTGACTGTGCATTCAAAGTGTGTACTACACAGTCAAGCTGTGCTTAAGCAAAGGGATGAAATGAAAGAAGACACTGCTTAGGGTTTTTGTAATCCACGGTTTCATTCCCTGCATCATAGTTACTGGTTATGTAAATCCAAAATGACGCAAGTCTTGCCCTGAACCCCTTCGTTCTGTGACGTACCATCAACACCATCTGCAATGTCGCTTTCTTCTTCTTCTTCTTCTAGCATTTCAAAAGGAGTCATTATATCATAGAGAAACGAGAGGAAACCATAAAACCAATCTGAACTTTCCTCTGCTAAAATATTAAGGACTTCCTCAAGAGAATCAATATTTTCATTACTGCCATCTTTGGTCAGGCCTACATAAGAATAAAGGAAGAGAGAAAGAGAAAATAAGGAGAGTAGTTAGGCTGAAAAAAAAAGAGGTTGAGGAAATGTGATCTCAACAAGGATATGCATCATGTTCACAGTGGTATACAGAGAAGATTATTGAGAAAACAAAGAAATTGATGAAGATGCACAGTTTCAACTCAACTCTCAATCATATATAGTGAAGGAAAGCCACCTGTGGTCAATTATCACCATTCCTACCAGTCCCTAAGCAGGTTTGGCTTCCTTGAATTAAAAAAAATTTATAGTTGAAAATATGACAAAGTTGTGTCAAGCCAAATCAATAGTCAGGAATAGAAAAATTGACTGTCATGGAAAGAGTAAAAGCAGTGTCAGAGAAAACAGACATTTCTGACAGGCTCCAGATTTGCTCAGCTAACAGCTAATCGTTATCAAGAGTTGATTGTACAAACATTTATATATGTGTCAATAGTCACTGAAAACAAAAATGCTGGCTCTTCTCAAACTTTTTCTCTTAGGACTGCAAGTTAACTTGGGAAACTGAGTTTAACATGGTCAGCAAGATTACTGTTTATAGCATCCACAGAATGGTATAAAGGCTCTCAAATTATGTAACTCCAACTATTTTTAACAATGAAATTCAACATTACATGTATTAGCACTAAAACACTCTAGCAAATGATGCATGGTTCTGTATTTTTGAGCAATAGTAAGAAATTACTATTAATGGTAATTAATTCATCTGCCTACTGATAAAGAAATTTAAATGAGGGTTTAGTTATTTGTAGCAAGAACATTTCAAACTTCTCTCCCCTATCAACCGATGAAATGAGTTTCTCTTGTGTCCATAAAAACATCTCACATGTTTAAGTGTTGGTTCCAAAACAGGGCCATGAGATAAAAAGAAATCAGAGTGTATAAAGTCTTCATCAGTTCTTACTTTTTTGTTATTTTTCGTATGAGAAACTGGTAGGTCTCTTGGCTCCAGCTGATGTCAAAATTCTGTGGATACTGCCACTCTACCTATACACCAGGATTTCCTCATGTGGAGGAAGAATAATAAGGTGATGGGTTCTAGTTGTAATGAATGTTGATGCAGAGCTGTTCTAATTATAACCACCCCCTCAATCATTTGCATTGCTCAAGTTCTCCATGCTGCTTAACTCTCCACAATGAAGAGGCAATTTAAGAGATAATAAGAACATTAACTGTTTTTAAAGATTATAAGAATTTTCTCTTCACGAATTAACACACAAACTTGGAGATATGGGAAGCACTCCCTACAGGTATCATTTTCTGAATTTTTCAGTGATTTTTAGTAGATAACAAATGCTATGAACAGAAATCTGTATTCCCAGTCAAATTTATGGGAATAACTTTCTTCTTCCCGCCTTAGTACATGATTGCTTACTTAGTATAAATGTCTTTTCTTATTTTCTGGTATTTTGTAAATGAGTAATGACTATAAAACATAAAACTTTTCCTCCCTCCTGTGTGGCAAGTGTGCAACAAATTTGCAAATGCGTTGGAACAAAATTGATTACCATGTCATTCGTAAAGCAACTGTGCTATTCCAAACAGAAAAAGTTGTAGCCACATCTTGGGTGTGAAATTTCCTTCGTAATAGCTAAGAGTGGGTCCCACCAAAACAGCAAGTTATCAGTGCCTTTGGTTGGGCAAGTACCAGTCCCTTGCTCACACGTCTGTCCCAGTATGTGAATATTCACCAAGGGTCTGGTGATCATGTGCTGGATCCCTTCTGTGTCCCACCCATACCTGATCCGGTACCAACCAGGTGCTGGTCATGCAACAGAAAGACCACCATGCAGTCCTTCGGTGGCATTACTCTAAGATGATCTTACTCTCAGCATTCAGTCCCTGGATCATTTTCCTGTTGATTTCATTTGGGAAACAAATTGTTTTAAAGAACACATTTCCAGACCATATACCTCCAATAATCCACACTAAGATCAGAGACTTTTAGTTTTGGATTATTTGCCTACAAAATATCAAGTTATACAAACAAGAACAGGTTTAAGCATATATTCAAAATCTTTCAAAAGGGCGTTGGCAGAAATGATAAAAGCAATGTAATCTATAGACTTTGATTCACTCACACATATTTAACTGTCTTAAAATGTTCTTTATGTAAAATCAATATGTAAATATGAATGTGTTCATGTAAATGAAAATGTGTTCATTTCCCCCACCTTGGTAAGATTTACATATATGCAGATTTAAGGATCTAGAAATAAAAGTATGAAATCAACAGCAAATAGGAAAGTTCAACACATCTCAACTATTATGATAGCTACCAGGTCAAGCTCTCTGCTAATCTCTGTGCTACTTTCTTCCTCTCTTCTTTTGTATCCCTGTGCCTTAATCCAAAGCCAAACACGTAGGGTTCACACTGAACCTTTAAACTGCTCTCCAGTGAGAATGCAGCCATGAAATCTGGCTTCTTTTGGGGTATATGTTCACTGCGTTTTCTTCTCCCATAGTCTCTTCTCAAATGCACAGAGCCTGGTCAAGTCTCTGTAAGCCCCAACAATTTCACCAGTAGCAGAAAAACAGCAAAATTTTCCAGCAATCTCACACATCAGAAAAGAACACCAGTTAGAACAATCACATTAAAGTTGTATTTCATGCAGAGAATTGAACACTGTGGAAATAAGGGCAGAGGTGATAAATGAGCCTCTCAGTTCACGTTTGGTTTGTTAACGTCTTTACAAAAGCCACAAGCCAACTGTGAAATAGTACATGCGTACAAGACAGTAGTTTACATACAGCTTGGCCTTGCCTTTCTCTGTGAAAATACTAGCGAAATCAACAAAGCTGGTTTTACCTCTAGCCCACACTTCTTATAAAAGAAACAAGTCATGATTTGACTAACGTATGTCCTGTATGTTAGCTTCTTACTGGCTAGTTAAAAATGTTAATGGGAATAATCACTTGAAGTCTAAAATACACCAAAAAGCTTTTAATATAAAAGTTTGTAGTAGAAATCAGTGTGTTCTCTACAAGAAACACAAATATGGTTGACATTTCCTGTAAACTTGACAGTAGGTTTTAGGACTCTCTCCCTCTCTCTCTCTCTGTCTCACCCACCCAGGTGGACATCACTAAAACATGAATGAAGCTGGTCCACATGAAGTTATCTTTGAAACAGAAAGTTTTGGGCCAGCACTGTGCAGCAACTAAAGCCACCACCTGGGCAACAAACCACTCAGCCACCTGTTTGAGCCCCACCTGTTTCAAGTTGGATTCAGCTCCCTGCTAACACCCTGGGCGATGCAACAGAGGATGGTTCAAATGTTTAGGCACCTGCCACCCACGTGGGTGACCTAAATGAAGCATCTGGCTTCCTCCCAGTGCAGGCCATTGTGGCTACACAGGGGGTATATCAACAGATGAAAGGTCTCTCTCTGTAAGCCTGATTTTCAAAGTAAATAAATATTTTCAAAAATTTAAAAACTATAAAAGCTACACTATTCAATGCATCATCTTAATTAATGAAATAATCATTTATAAACAAGTAAATCACCAATCATCTTGATATATTTTGCTTTAAAAGATTTTATTGCTTTCACATGTCTGCGATCATAATCACTTAAGGATTTAATATTTTTGGAGAATTACTGGAAAATTCCACTAAAGTTAAGACAGAAAAAAAAATCTTTATACTAAGTTTACAGTAACTTTATAGTAAGTTTCCACCTCTAAGTAGCAAAGACTAATTCTCACTGAGTAATCATTGAAAAACACATAAACTGAGATAAAAAAAAATAAGGCATTACACTTAAGAAAGCTTAACCCTTTTTACCTAAAACGTATTGTTTTACAGGGAGGCAAATTTAATATAAAGGTTTCACTGGTGACAAATGTCACAGCTGCCAAGTTTTTTATATCCATAACTACATAAAGCAATGTGGTTAGGAAGAATTTGTGTCATTATTTGTCATTACTCTACTAAGCTTTGCATATAATACCACATCATGCCCAGTGGTCTTCTATGATTGGATATTGATTTATCATGTATTGCGCTAAGGCAAAGAAAAAAAATGCTGATTAACAAGGAGAAATACAATTCTCCCAGTCATATTGGCTAAAATTTGTTTATTAAAATTAGCATTATCTTTTCCAGTTATCCCTTTGTAAAAGTACGTACAACTGACATAGATATTGTTTTCCTTCCAGTTTTTACCATTACCGAGAACAACAAAAAATATACTTGCCTAGCAAAACTTTGGCATCATCCACATCAAAATCTCCATCTCCATCGGCATCATAGACGCCTAGTTTTCCTACAAGAGGAGAGAAATGAAGGGTACATGAAAAAAGTTCAGAATGTATTATGATTGCAGTACTGTCCGCCAGACATATGCATGACCAATCAAAGCAATACTCCATTCTTTAGTCCTGCATGAGTGACACAGAAACTGTCTACCTGAACATGAGAAGTAATTCACACAGCAAGTCACGAAACATGTGCCTAAGAAGTTCTGAGAAATATAACTGCGATATTTCCCTTATTGTTCTAACCATTTCAGAATAATTTTTTGTTATGCTACCAAAGACACAGTTTGATAAAAAAAATTTTAACATACATGTATAACACTGACACATTTCTAACAAGAAGTTTTATGTTTCTGAAGTATCACATTATCAATATCTGAAGCAAACATCACAATCGACTAAGCCTCAAATAAAGACTACATGTAAATAAATCTACATACTAAACACAATGGGAAATATATTTACATTCTGTAGTAAATTTTACATTTGTATAATACAACAGAAATACCTTGAATCAACCTTAAAAACATATAAAGTTCCCATCTGAAAATAAAGCATACACAAAACTGCAGCCTTTCTAAAATTACACAGGGAAACTTATGATTACCCTACTTAAGAACTTCCTTAGTCCTGGCCATCTACCCCTAAGAGGGGAGAAAGGCTCCAAACCGCTCTGCTGTGAAGACAGTTCAAGGCCTTGGCTCCAGAGCCTTCCCTGCTTTGTCCTATAGAGTGCTGCCACGTCTAGCATTTCAAATGAATCCTCTGCATTCAATAACCAAAAAAAAAGCATTCTAAAGTCAATAGGGTTTCTAATTCATCATTAAACAACGACCATGAAGAAGCACAGTGTACAGGAATATTATAAACGGCATTCACAAATGAATGGATTAAATTTGGTTCCCATTGCTTTAACACATAGTACATCCAAAGATTGCTTAAGGGAGAGCAGAAACGCGGAACGACTATGACCAATTTCACCTTCTTAAAACCCCAGCTATGTTTAGGTAATCAGTGCACGTTCTTTAGATGTCAGATTTAGAAAGTACATAAACAATAAAAATGATAGTATTAATGGAAAAGTTGGAACATGATTTGAGTTGCTAAGGAAATTAAAAGGACAGATCAAGGACACAGACACAGTATAGAACTGAAACAGCACTAAGTAGTTAAAAAACCCCATCCTTCCTGATCCACACAGAGGGCAAATTAGTCCTACATTTACAATCCTTGATATAAGTGATCACGAAATTAGCAAAATATGAATGAGGACTTACAGGGGGGAGGACCATCTGGCCTGTAGACCAAAAGAGGCTAGAAAAATCATTTGGAGTGACCTTGCCAAAGCAACCTGTGGTGGGATTCAAAATTCAAGGAATCGATAGCAGGCTAATTTTCAAGTTGGTAACTGCATATATGTCTGTAAATTATGTTAGAAGTGCCCACATGGCTCTAGGCATAGACAAGGTTCCCCCCTGCTGATACACGACTGACAGACAGACCAAAAATGCTTCTACAACAGCCTACCTTGAAGTACCTCTGATAAGTTATAACGGAAGTCCTTTGCTTTGGCTGCATGCACGTAAAAACACGAATATCATTACTAAAGGTACAAATACATTAAATCTCTCCTTTAACATGCATACCCTTAAAACATTTCATTACAAATAAACAGAAATGCAAATCTTTTTAGAAGTTCACCTTCACACTAAAATTGTCCCTATTTGTCTATGAGTCTATCCAGAGATACTTTCCTTAGAATGATTTTTCAAAAACTAACAAGACAGGTAACATGTGAATGCATTTTATTTTTTATTCTTGCCTCCCAACCTCTAGAGGGACAGGTATAATTTGCCAACTACAATAGAGGCAGGCCCAGGAGGTTGGAGAGAAGGGAGCGGGCCTTGTAGGCAACTTTTCTAGTGACAGGCCCCATATCTTCTACTGAATTATCAAAGTTGAAGGCCATTATTCACAACAGGCAGAAAATGAAAGCAATATAAAAGCCCACCTCCAATGAACAGGTAAGCAAAATGGAGTACATTCACACAATTGGAAGTCATTCAGCAATATGATTTTGAGCAAAAAGCAAACAAAATGGTCACATATTATATGATTCCACTGAAATAAAATGTCTAGCATAGGCATAACAACAGATTCAGAGATAAAAAAGCAGATTAATGTTTGCCAGCAAAGGCAAGGAAGTGAAGGACTAGGTGTTTTGGGGAAAAGGACAACAGAAATATTCTGGAATTAGATAAATGACAATATCCTCATGATAAATGTATTAGAGCCAAGAAATTGATTTTCAAATATTTATAATATTGAATTTCACATGTGAACTGCATCTTGATTTTATAGAAAGACTTGTGGTTACATGGGGAAAAATGAGGATTGTGATTCCAAATATTATAAACAACTGTTAATGCAACTGATTTTTTTTAAATTGGAGAGATTATGAAGAAAGAGAGAGAACAGTAAAAGGGATTAATGGTCAGAAACTCCACGGCAACCTCCTCAGAATACCATACAGGCCACACACCTACACACACACAGACTCACATCCTCCACACATTTCCATCCCAGCACAAACCCAAATATTCCAGCACTCACCATCTGCATACAGTCGTATCCCAGCACCTGTAAATACACGTCACACTCACACAACCTATCCCAACAACAACCAAGACATGCACATGCATGCAAACACAGCCCCACTGTAACAGACACTAAGGAGTTTGCTTTGAAAACCGTAAGGAAATTTTGTGGAAACTGTTATTATCATCTGCTGGGGCATTCTTAAATAATTTCAGTGGTTCATGATCAAATATTTTTTTAAATTTATAATATAACAGACTTGAACGGACATTACAAAGTACCACATGGAGTGAGAATGAATAATGCTTGTACAGTCTCTTTCTAAAAATATGTTTTATACTTAAAAGTTCAGGTACTACAAAATACTCTCCTTCTACCCTTACCCTATTGAGAAGCACTGAAAGGCTCTAGAAATGAACAGCACTGAGAAGTGACCATATCTAAGGATGTCACTTGCCCTGATACAAATTCACCAGAGAAACCACATCACAGTTCTTACCTAGCACTTCCTCGTAATCAACAAGCTCAAACCAAACAACAGCTACTGACGTCCAGACGCCAAGCAAGGCGATGACCATAAACCATGTGAAAAACGAGCTTCCAGAAAGTCCTCCTTTCCTCCCATTCCTGTGTCCTCCATGCTTTGGATCTGTAACATAAATGTAAGAGGTCATTATAGAAAGGGAAAATACTTTTCTGCACAAGTTTCAGATCCTTTTAAAAAGTTTTCACTTAGATTCTTAAAATACATTGCACAAAATAAGGATTTCAATAACAGAAAAAGATCTGCTTTCACTCAACACCTATGTCTTAAAACCCTTCATTTCAAATAATGGAAAAAATAAGCCACTAAAATGTTAACTAATGAATATTTAAAAGTATGGGCTTATAGAAGATGCCTATTCTCCATTTTATGTTTCTTGTCAAAACTATGCGAGTAAAATCTTCAAGTTCAAAACATTTCAACTCAACATAATCATATGTTCCTTTATCAACCCTCATTTCTATAGACTCTTAAATTCTCCATGAAATGTCCTGCACCCCAGCCTACCCTTTCTACTCTTTCCCCTTTAAAAAAAAAAAATAGAAGAAACAAAAAGAAAAAGACAAGACAAGAAAAGAAAAAGCTTATCTCCAAAACCACTCCATCTTCTTGTTAAGTGGGAAGAAAGAAGAAAACCATAGGGAGTAGAGGGGACAAAAGGCAGCTGGAAAGCAAATCAATGCATTCTCACCGCTGTGCAAGGTCCACAGATGTCTCAGGAAAGGCTCATTTAGAAGTGGCCTCAATGCAGAAAATGTCTTTGTAAACAGCTGTCCACCAAGTATCATCTGTCACATCTGAGCTGCCTTCACACCCCCTCTATTCTTCTGGGAACATTCTCCTTACAGCCAAATATATAGCTATGGAGGTTGGGACAGGCTCTGTAGCATACAGAGTATGCTAAGCCTCCTCCTACAGTACCAGCATCCCACATGGATGCTGGTTTGGGTCCCTGCTATTCCCCTTTAAAGGCAGCTCCTTGCTTATACAAAGAAAGCAGCGAAAGATGGCTCAAGTGCTAGTACCCTGCACCTATGTGGGAGACACGAAAGAAGCTCCTGGATCCTGGTTTTAGATAGGCTCAGCTGCAGCTGTTGAGACCATTAAGGAAGTGAACCAGTGAATGGAAGATCTCTCTGTTTCTCATTCACTCTGTAACTGCATCTCAACTAAAAGTAAAATAAATCTTTATTCTAAAAAAAAAGAGAAAAAAAAAAGCCAATGGAGGTCAACTGTGAGTGGTAAACATTTTGTCAACACTATCCCTAAGATGGAAGATCAATAATTTTCTCTTAAAAATGAAATGTGGCAAGTCAATCACTAAAAAGGATATTTTGTATCCAAAAAATGGCATCTAAGAAAAGTTGTAGCAAACTAGATGGAAAATTAAGGCACATCTGTGCCCCATAGCAAGCCGAATCTCCATACAACACATTCCTGTGCTTAGCTGCACATGCTTCTTCAGAGGCCATTTCTCCATGTCTGTCAAACTGTTCCTCCCACTGCAGAACACTGGTTATTCCTGGCTCCCCTGGTGCCCAAAGGCAAAACATGCCCAGATGTTTCCACGTGTCCCTGAGGAGGGCAGCACCTGGCTAATAACTCCTGTGGGCATAGACAGAAATAGCTAACCATTTTACGGAGGGAAGACTCAGGGATTCAGCCAACTCCCTAGACAAGCTTGGAAGAAGGAAAACATGTTCTGACTTCTGTGGTCCTGAGTTCCTTCAGGCATGCTGTGTGTGCCAGCTGACATGGTTGCCCTCATCTTGCACCTGACTTCTGACTTCTAGTCCATTTCTAGTTGCAGAATGGAACTGCTCCTTTTTTCAGTAGTTCACATTCAGAATATACTACCAATGAATACCTCTGAAATAGTAAAATTCTCTTGTAAAAAATAACTACATTTTAAAAAACAATCACTAGATTAATCTTTCAAAGGGGGGCATAAAAATTCAACCAATATAAGCATGTCTGAGTGAGTGAGTGAGTGTGTGTGTGTGTGTGTTTGTGTACACAACACATTTATACACCTGTATCTGTGGATAGAAAAATAATTAAAATAAACACATATTCTTAAAGACAAACTCATAACATTTGGATACACAGCACAGAAAGCCAAGTGGTGGAGGGCTCGCATGGGACAGAGGCTTCGAAGCCTATTGTTGTATCACTACACTACTAGCAAATTTTGAGAATGAAACAAATGTATAACCCATCTTAGATTTCCATCCAAAATCATTTTTATTAAATAGATTTGTCACCTTCAAGTCATTATTACCTACCTGGAATACCAAATTGTTAGTGCTATCTTATTCATCTCTTTATAATGTCAAATTTAAAAAAGACATTACTATTATTACTCTGAATATTTAACCTTTTTACTATTACCAATTTCATAAAGGAACAAAAAACCTACTAAATTATGGAGTCTTTCTTAAGACATCATGTTTACCAAAAGTAGAAATATATGCTACTCTATGAAAATACTATATCTAGTCTCAAAGGACAAATCCATTTTTAACCAAACTGAGGGAAGCACAGTAAGACAAACACTTTAAGAAGGCTCAAAACTCCCTAAGCAAACCTGAAACTACCCCTTTGTTCCAATCGTATTCCAGAAAAAATATTTATTAGTTGCCCCAAATTTCTATGATCGGAATCAATCCACGAACCATTCCATCCGTTCCGTCCAGCTCTATGTCCAACCTGCAATTGTGTAACTCAAAAGAAGCTTTATTGTGGGGGAGTGGTGTCAAAACATGTTAAGAATGTGATTCAGTTTTCCTTGTTGTCCCATGAAAGTACCAGACTTCCAAGTCAGAAAATGTTCCTGCGTATGAACAAACAGGATGGTGGAATGATAGTCCCAAGAGTCCAAAATAAAGAATCCCCAAATATAGAGAACAGGCTAAAGACAATACATCATTTATTTACTTGGTTAAAAAAAGAAAAAATAGGAAAATGTATACAGTAACACAAAGAGCCGACAACTACTGAATCACAAATCAACTGTTTCTAAATTTTACCTGGCACTATACTGCATTTTGTGTTGATTCAGAGTGGTTTTGTTTAGTTTTAAGAAACCCTAAAACATGTCAAGCAACTCATCAAACATTATTTTTCCATGCCTGCATGGGTCCCTTTGGAAATCAAGGCCTGCTGGTTCAAAGCAGACCAGAATTAACAGGTGATTTCACCTCATTATGTGGATTATCTAATCCAGGGAGGAAGGAAACACATCCTAAAACAACTAAAAATCAGATATACACTCATACTCATCAGAGGTAAATGAAGCACTTTCTCAGTCTAGCCAACTGCCCCAATCTAGCTTGTTCACTACACAAAGTGGAGGTGCTCCCATTCTCCATTCCTGGGGTAGAATCTTTTCTGATCCTTAGAATATTAAGGTGGGAACAATTTCATACATTCATTGCTCTTTTCTTACAAAACTATCAATAGAACAGGTAAACACAGGCCGCTTTTGGCAAACTTATTTTACAAAGGAATGTGAAAACATGCACCAAAAAAGTAAATGAAACACATTATTAAGGAACAGCTAAATGTTAATTATTCAGCTTTAAAATTGTAATTTTTCTGTCTTTTCCTAGCAATTTATTATCTGCTTCACACACAAAAAATTAGGTCAATTTCCATATATGGTCTTTGCTCGAATCAATTATATCTGATTAAACTTACTTGCTAGTATTTTAAATGAACTTAAATTTATACTTTTTTATTGTCATTAACTTACAAGACTAAGGAAGACTCCTAGTACTTTTTTGAAGTTTCTAAAAATACAATCTGTTAGTAAAACAAACTAAAAAGTAGCTTTAAGACACCAAAACATATCAGATTATAATTAGTCCATGAGAATTCCAATTACTGTGAAAAGTCATTATTTCTGAGAATTAAAAAAAAAAAAGGCACAATCAAAGTGGTTAGCCAAAAATGTAAGGCAGCAGAGAAGCTAAGGTTAAAAGCTGTCAGCTGGATCCAAAACCACTTTTAACCCAAACAACAAAAATGGATACCTTTATCATCAGCCATTTTTTATTTCTTCAATCCATGAATAATATATACTAAAGAAAAAAAATCAAAATGCTCCCAGCAGATAGGGTGCTTCCCCACCAGAGCTTCAGAATGACCCACCCCCACACAACGGGGCCTCTAGAACTGAAATTGGACCTGACTGCAAACACTGCTCACCAGTTATTTTTAGAGGCTTCCTCCTTGTGGCCAAAGACTGCTAACCACTCAGGCTGCAACGCTTGCCTGACACTGCACCCTCTCTCCCACTTGAAGCATTCCTTTCCTAGTTGGTCCTGTCTCCCAACTCCAACCCTTAAAAAGATGAAGCACACCAGATGAAATAAGATGGAACAAATTATGTTACCAGTTTCATTATTCTCAAAGTTTAGTGAACTGAACTTACGCACCAAGGCATTAAAAATTAAAAGGAATGTTGATATATATAACATGTGCCCCAAACCCAGACACAGCTTGAGCTAATCCTTTACCGAATTAGACATCTCTAAGACAAGACAGTACATTATTTGAATGAAGCAGAAGCAAAAAAGAAATCAAATTAGTAAAGGCCCTAAAATTCTGATTCCCAGGCACTACTATGCCAGGAGTACTTCCTCCATCGGCAAAAAACAAAACACAAAACTGCTTCACTAGAGAAGGAAGGAGAGAGGCCTGGGAGTGAAGAGAGAGGTATGGGAAGGGACAGAGGGGAGACTTGAGGAAAGGGAGCAAGAAGGCAGCCATTTAGGGAGGCTAGAGATTCTACATCACGCGTAGGTATTTTTCAACTTCTTCTTAACCCCATCTCCCAAAGCGGTTCTTCTGGGAAATAAAATCAGTCCAATTTTAAAACCATTTTTCACTAACCTAAGATTAGCAGTTGACAAAATTCATTAAAGCTTTGATTAGGATCTTAAATTAACCTAGCACACATAGTATCTAGAGCAAGGCAGCAAGTTTTCAAAGTTGTTTGTAAGTCTTTCATTTTCTCACTCAAATCTAGGGTGCTATGGGGAAATTAAACATCTTTAAGTGCCCTGACAAGGAATCAGCCATCCATGGTAGCAATATTTCAT